CCTTGTGGTGAAACCCTCTGTATTTGCTCTCGTGAAGTCGTCTCTTGACTGTAGACTTTGACAATGATAACAAATATAAAGTGCAGCGCTCTCCCTAAACTAATTTAAAAATAATATAAATAGATAAATTTAAATAGAGTGCACACTTGATAAGAAATATTTTACATATTAACACAACTTACTCAACATATGTGCAAAATATTGCATATACAAATATCATACGAAAATTGTGCAAATCATGTGCTTGAAAGTGAAAAATAAAGTGCAAAATTGAGATTAAAGTGCAATCAGAATCACTCCAATCATCTATTGAATTGATGATCAATCTCAAATGAAATAAAAAATAAAGTGTCCAAATGCGTCAAAAAAACTATCAATCTTCATGCATGTGTCACATCGTGTCCACACTATGTAAATCCAAACTTTGGCCGTGATGGCTCCTCACCTCCTTGCCAAGACCCACAGGTTCAGCTCGCTCAATGGGGGCACTGAAGGCTTGTTACAAGACGATTTTAAATGTGAGTGGGCAATTTTTCTACATATCTATTGATTTAATAAACAGGATTACACTATGTGAGTTTTTGTTTGCATATAAACCGAGGAGGAGATCGCTGGTAGAGTGTAAGGGGGAAGAGGCGGGGAAGGTCCTGGTGAGTCATCTAAAGGGTGTCCTGTTGTTGAGCGAGCTGACCTGTGGGGTCTTGGCAAGGAGGTGAGGAGCCATCACGGCCAAAGTTTGGATTCACATAGTGTGGGACACGTGTGTGACACATGCATGAAGATTGATAGTTTTTTTTGACGCATTTGGTACACTTTATTTTTTATTTCATTTGAGATTGATCATCAATTCAATAGATGATTGGAGTGATTCTGATTGCACTTTATCTCAATTTTGCACTTTATTTTCACTTTCAAGCACATGATTTGCACAATTTTTGTATGTGTATATTTTGTATATGCAATATTTTGCACATATGTTGAGTAAGTTGTGTTAATATGTAAAATATTTCTTATCAAGTGTGCACTTTATTTAAATGTATCTATTTATATTTATTTAAATTAGTTTAGGGAGAGCGCTGCACTTTATATTTATTCACTCATTTTGGTAAAGGAGTTTGGTGTCAGCTGCTTGGAGAATAGGGCCCCATTCCTAGCGCAGGAAGTTCTCGCACTTTGACAATGATACGCCCACCTCCTGGAGAGTGTCCTTCACTTGTCTGGATGTTGTGAATGGGTTTTTTTCTTTACCATAGAGAGGATCCTGCAATCATCCAACACTGTTGTCTTCATGGACGTCCATGCCTTTTTAGGTTGCTGAGCTCATCAGTGCGTCCTTCTTTCCTCAGAATGTACCAAACTGTTGATTTGGCCACTCCTAATGTTGGTGCTATCTCTATGATGGATTTATTTGTTTTTTTGAAGCCTTACAATGGCCTGCTTCACATGCATGGACAGCTCCTTTGAACGCATGATGTAGGTTCACAGCAATAGATTCCAAATGCAAATACCAAACTTAGAATCAACTCAGACCTTTAATCTGCTAAATTGATTAAGAAATAACAAAAGGAGTAGCCCACACCTGGCCATGAAACCGCTTTTGATTTAATTGTACAATTACTTTTGGTCCCTTGAAAAAAGGAGGGATGGCTACTCTTAAAAGCTGTAATTCCTAAACCCTTCCTCCAATTTGGATGTACATGCCCTCAAATTAAACCAGAGAGTGTGCACTTTCAGCCCATATCCATTCTATAACTATAGCTTGAATATGTTTTGCTCAATACCTGGAAAAAACTAAAACTGCCTTTGTCCAAATATATATGGACCTAACTGTACATCCATATGTGTAGTTAATACCACTGCAAAAGTACCCATATTTACCATAGTGGTGATTGGTAGACTTTTCTGCAAGAGTTTGAGAACTAGATATACACAAACAGAGGCACCCAGATCATGTCCTTTCCTCCATCAAAGGCACCTAGACCATGTTGTTTTCTCCATCATAGGCACCCAGATCAGGCCTCTCTCCATCATAGGCACCCAAGACCATGTCCTTTTCTCCGTCATAGGCACCCAGATCATGCCCTTTTCTCCAACATAGGCACCCAGATCATGTCCTTTTTCCCATCATAGGCACCCAGATCAGGCCTTTCTCCATCATAGGCACCCAGACCATGTCCTTCCTCCATCATAGGCACCCAAGACCATGTCCTTTTCTCCATCATAGGCACCCAGATCATGCCCTTTTCTCCATCATAGGCACCCAGATCATGCCTTTTCTCCATCATAGGCACCCAGATCATGCCTTTTTCTCCATCATAGGCACCCAGATCATGCCTTTTTCCATCTCCACCCAGATCATGGCACCCCCAGATCATGCCTTTTTCTCCATCATAGGCAGGCACCCAGATCATGCCCCAGATTTTTTTCTCCATCATAGGCACCCAGATCATGTCCTTTCTGACCATGTCACACTACGCAGCCATCAGAGCTGCAACACTGAAGCAACTGGGATAGAAAACTATGAATTACAAATTTCATCAGGTGTAAGGAGATTCCATAAAAGGACTCTGAAAACGATGCACCGTGTGCCGTGTGACACTCCTGTGAGGGGTTGATTTACTAAAACTGGTGAGTGCAAAACCTGGTGTAGCTCTGCATAGAAACCAATTGTTTTTTTTCTGGTAACGCTTAATTGAGCAAGCTGAAGTTAGAAGCCGATTGGATACCATGCACAGCAGCATTAGATTTTGCACTCCCCGGTTTTTTAATAAATCAACCCATATGTGTTGAGGACCTTATTCATCTAAAAAAAAAAAAAAAAACAAGCCTGCATAATCCAGCAATACTAGGCAATAGCTGTCATTACTAGGTGTTGGTACATATCATTCAATTGTTGAAATTTAGCCTCATTGCACCTCCAAGCTAGTGTTCATGCAGCTAGTAGCCATTGAAGCCTTTAAATGCAAACTCTACCACCTGAACCGTATTCCACAATGCAATACTAACTCCTCTACCGACTATCAAGGTGAATCTGAACACAGAAAAAATAAAGATTTGAAATGTTCTAGGAAATTTTTGCCTACTCCGTACTCTGAAAAATCGGCTTGTCCTGTTCTGTAGCTTTATAGCTGTATATCTGCAATGTGAGATCATGAAGGAACTAATGCCCTTTGACTCAGTCTAACTAGATTTGGTGGTGTCCTTACGTTGTTGCTCACTGTTCTCCTTGCTGGAGTGGAAGCTGTAAGCAACGATCATCAGTACAAAAATCTCCCTGATTAGGTTTTATCCCATTCTATGGATCTATGCTTCTATCATCTCTCCTAATGCTACTTGACTATTCCTCCACCAGTCTCAAAAGGGGGGGGGGGGGGGGGGGATGATTATAGTCCTGCCTATACCAAGATGGATGCCTTCAAACAGAGCAGAGCAAGGTACAGTAAGTCAGTAATAGTAAAAAAGATCAGCTTCAGGGAGCCCACATGCAATACTGAGAACTAGTCATTTGCCCTCCACCTGTCTTTTTTGGGTACAGCTTTTACAGTAAAGGCCCTTTTTAAGGGTGTAGTATATGACCATCAACATTTCAATATGGTGTCCACACGTTCTGGACCTTCCAGGGCAAGCAGATAACATATACTATATATCCAACAACCATGCAGCGCTAACATATACAATGATGCATGCAAATAATCATTTGGTGCAGGTGATAACTAGTGAAGTGAACACCATTTAATATTAGAAAGGATCTTAAGAGTTATCTAAAAAGTCCAGAATGCTAATGATGATAAATATAAATCATTCAACAAGAGTGTTCTTGCGGTGCATAATACATCAAAAATTGACACAATATGTGACTTCTGTGACCATATTCCTCCCGCAGAAATGAGTGTAGATTGCACTAACCAGAGAGCGCAATCTTAATGCGCATTTGAGTGTTAACCAACTCCTGGTCATCCGGCTACTGCAAACTGGAACTGGATCACAGAGTGGTCATCTGGCCTGCATCAGCTGGGCAAACATCACAACCTCAGGGACACCAGATATCAGAAGGCGTGTAGTCGTCTCACCACCGGATGGAGTCTAACCAGTCCTGATGTGGCCACCAGAGCATCCCAATAAGCCTTGAAGGAGGGGGGGGCTCGGAAGTAGCGAGCCAAGACAATAGAAGATTCTGATAGTGTAGTACTTTATTATCCACATTAAACAGTAAACAAATAGCTGAAAATTTTGTGGATAATAAAGTACTACACTATCAGAATCTTCTATTGTCTTGGCTCGCTACTTCCGAGCCCCCCCCTCCTTCAAGGCTTATTGGGATGATCTGGTGGCCACATCAGGACTGGTTAGACTCCCCCGGTGGTGAGACGACTACACGCCTTCTGATATCTGGTGTCCCTGAGGTTGTGATGTTTGCCCAGCTGATGCAGGCCAGATGACCACTCTGTGATCCAGTTCCAGTTTGCAGTAGCCGGATGACCAGGAGTTGGTTAACACTCAAATGCGCATTAAGATTGCGCTCTCTGGTTAGTGCAATCTACACTCATTTCTGCGGGAGGAATATGGTCACAGAAGTCACATATTGTGTAAATTTTTGATGTATTATGCACCGCAAGAACACTCTTGTTGAATGATTTATATTTATCATCATTAGCATTCCTGGACTTTTTAGATAACTCTTAAGATCCTTTCTAATATTAAGTGGTGTTCACTTCACTAGTTATCACCTGCACCAAATGATTATTTGCATGCATCATTGTATATGTTAGCGCTGCATGGTTGTTGGATATATATTACTTTTGAGGCTCCTGGTATTTGCCTTTCATGCTAGCCGCTCTGTTTGATTATCCAGCGCTCGTATTTTTTCTATTTTTATTTAGATAACATATACTGGTGTCCTGTACCATTCAGTATAATTTTTTTTAGCAATAGGTTATCTATGGTGATAAGTGACGTGGAACCTGTTAACAAAATGCCACAAAAGGGGCAATACGGTGGATTTACCTAAATAAAATGTGCAGATAAGAACCCAGTCCAGTCAGTATGTGCCACCAGGCATGGAACTGTGTCACGGCCCCGACGACAGGGGGCATCGTCTGCCGTACATTCCTGGAAGAAAATGACATTCATGAATTCCTTTATTTGGTAAAATTTACGGGGGAAAGATTTAAAACACATTTGTTTAAAAGGAGATATTTTTAGATGCAAAAGACACCTTATTGTAACTAATCTCTTTTTTCCCCTTGATTTTGGAACAATACATGGAATATGGAAAAATTAGAACGTGAACCTGTGTTTGTTGATGCAGGGCAAAGCAACACATCCCCTCCTCCCCATACAGTACACATGCACCTTTCCTTTGCTCCCCTACCTCCCTGTTTATTATTACAGACATTTGAAAAGAACCATCAATTATATACAGTACAAATCACATCAGTCCCTGTTCCCATGGAGCTTACGATCTGAAGTCCCTGTATCACATGCATGAGTGTGCGAGGAAACTGGAGAGGCTTCCTTCTAAATTTAGGGAGGTCAAGCACATTCGAACAAAAAATGAACACACTTTAGAGAGGAACATGAAGGAGACTCATCTGGTTCATAAAGTAATAACAGACACTCAAGATTTTTGCTTGCTGTTCGGTTCACATTAAGATGACTGGTGTGTCATGGTGCCCTAAAAAGAGCCCCAATCTAATATGGGGTAAGGGTTAAATCTGTTCTAAACCTAATTTTTTCCTAAAATGAAAAACATGTTACTTACCAGCTCTGTGCAACGCTTTTACACAGAGCGCCCCCGTACCTACTCTTCTGGGGTCCCCGCCAGCGCTCTCTGCTCCTTCTCTTTGCCGAGTGTCCCCATCTCAAGCCACTTTCTATGGGGGCACTTGTGAAGACGTGCTCCCAAGCTGGGCTGTTTGTCCATAGGGGTCCCTAGGGGTCTCATATTGCATGATTTAGTCTATGATCATTCTATCATTAGTATTTGGTGCTTATTAAAATGGTCGCAGTTATGTGCTTTGGGACCAATGGAAAATGGTCACCATAGTGTTATTCTATGAGGGCTTCAACAAAATGACCGCCAACTAACTGAGTATACACACACTATATAAGGACTGCCCCTCCGCCACACCCCTGATGAAGTCACATGGGCGTGACATAACGCGTAGGTTATGGCCGTAGGCAGATGTGAACCGGAAGTGGCATAACGGAAAGTGGCATAACCGGAAGTGTAATCTGTATATGGCGACTCCATATGATTTTCAATGGTGTTTTTTATTCTCATGTACATATGAGTGCATTACTTTTAATAAAACCTACTTGTTGGAATATACTGCGCTATCAGAGTTCCCTCTGCATAAGTATAGGAGGTTTTTGACCCCAAGCCACCCTTAAAGGGACCGTTTTGTTTTTTCTTTGGTTCGGCGATCAAGGGAAAGGAAAGAGGACACCCAGTGGTTCTAAAGGTGGATGACCAGGAGAGTGGAGGGACCTCTATTTATATATCATCATAAAGCGCATTTCAATTGCCCTAAGGTGACATTTCTGTGAGCGCTGAGGTGGCACAATCTGCATGCTTTACAGCACTTTATACGATTCCTCATGTGCTCATATAACCAACACCAGCGCTTGAAGTTGTGAAGACAACTGTTGTAGAGCTTATTCTCCATTGTTTTCATATTTCACATGGACTTGTCTTTATGGACATTATATTGTCATGATTCATGCATGGTATATGTATATGTCATTTATTGATGATTTGGTATGTATATTTCACATTGGCAGCGCACCATTGGTTTTATTCATTTTTATGTTTTTGTTGTGGGAGCACAATTTTTGATGCTAGCAGCAGCTCCATTTATTATTATTTTCATCACATTGAGGTAGTGCAGGAGTTTATATTTTTTATAATGTTGATGGCAAGCCATGTCAGCTCATCCAATATCTGTACCTGACCTCACAAAAGCTCTTTAGGCTGAATGGACACACATTTTTACAAACCCACTTCTAAATCTTGTGGAAAGCCTTCATAGAAGAATGGAGGCTGTTCTAGCCATAAAAAAAGGGTACGTGGGCAACCCCATATTAATGCCCATGGTCTGGAAATGGGATGTCCAACCAGCTCAAATAAGTGTGATGATCTGTGTGTCCCCATATCAAACCACTTTCTATGGGGGCACTTGTGAAGACGCGCTCCCAAGCTGGGCTGTGTGTGTCCATAGGGGTTGCTAGGGGTCTCATATTGCATGATTTAAGTTTCTGTTCATTCTATCATTAGTATTTGGTGCTTATTAAAATGGCCGCCATTATCCTATTGTGCTTTGAGACCAATGGAAAATGGCCACTATAGTGTTATTCCATCCATAGTGTTGGACATCCCATGGTCTGGAAATGGGATGTCCAACAAGCTCAAATAAGTGATGATCATCGGGTGCCCTGTACCATTTGGCCATACAGTAATAAATAGCTAAGGCACCGAACACTACACTACGACGAGCGAGCAGGATCCAACCTCACAAAACTCTGCACGCTGCATCGGTCTGTGTTGGCATTTGTACAGGGTCAATTACCTGCTCCCTTCCCCTATGTGACAATTTTTGTGTCTGCAATTCTCCGCTCCAGCTGGAACAATGCATCCTGGATGGAAGGATGGAAAAAAAAAAAAAAAAAAAAAAAAAAACACACCTGGCTACTGGGAATTTCCAAAGGCTCTGACAGACCAAGAGTGTGGCAAAAGGATGTATTATGTGCGTGTTAAGAGGACCTGTCACCTACCCTGAATTCCTTTAAATTAATTTTAAAAGAGGAGTGTGGGATATTAACAAAAAAATAACTAAAATAAATTAAAAAAAAAAAAAAAAAAAAAAAAAAAACCACAACACAACAAACCTACATACTCATCTAGATGGCTACAGCATGGATCCAAGCTACAACTGTCTCCCACTGGCTCTACACCGAAAACTGAGCGATCAAACACAACTAATTGCTCAGTAATCATATTTGCCTTGAGCAGATAGCAGTGGCTGTCAATAACTGGCTCTCTGCCACTCCAATGCTCACTGGAGGGCCAGGATGTGGAGGGGGCGGGAGTAGCTAGCAGAGTTTCTCTCTGGCAGCTGCCGGTCAGGAATCTGGGCCGATCCCGACATTATTGTCAAGATCCCTGCAGAGCCTGGACCAGCTCTGTGATGTCAGCCAACAGCAGACTTTACCCCACTGTTGGCTGAATCTGGGTCACTGGAGTGCAGAACTAAATACAGAGCTGTGACCTACAGGGAAAATATGGACAAAAGAGTTTTGGTCATACTTCTGCTTTAAAGCCCTATGCACATGGAAAATGCACACAAAAAAAAAAAAAAAAAAAAAAAAAAAAAACTTTTAGCTGGAGAAAGAATCCAACAGATGACTGCATCTGGACTTACAGGTGGATGACTGATGTAAATGTACAATATATATGTAAAGCGCTGCGTAAATTGACGGCGCTATACAAGTACCTGTAAAAAAAAAAATAAAATGTGGATAGTTACAACTGCTGAGGATATGCACAGACAGACTGACAGTGGTGTCAGTTGATTATGTTTGGATGTAATCGTACATAGAGCGATAACCTGCTGTTAGGGACAGATGTTTGTTCTTGGAGGCAAGCTCTTTGTATCCCGGGATGTCATCTGCCCCTATCACTCCATGCGAGGATACATCCAAACACCCTTGCACAGCTGACACCACTGTCTTTCACTGCGTTGTACAGGCTCAGAGGCTGCAACTATCCGCATCCACCTGTGAATGCAGCCGAAGGAATTCACTGGATTCTTGCTGCTGCTGGAACATTGCTGTCATGTGCATGGGTCTTAAATGTAGAACCGGTCATTTAAAATTTCTGTAGGTGTAACAACTTACCTCCAAGTGTCGCAGAAGATGTTGTCAATGTTCCAGAGTAAAAATCCCATTAAAAACACTCCTAACGAGGTGTAAGCCAGTCCCCGGAGCCAGGGATACACCCTGAAATAAAGAATCAAAGTATTAAAACATCATTAATGGGCAATGGCAACTTATGTCAAATCATTTCCACACAGAAGTGCCAGGAGTAGTACCATGACCATAAACGTCATACTATAAAAAGAGATATAGGCTGGAGTACCCTGCAATGTCAAATATCCATTTGTGAATTTTTATTGGGAACCTTATAGTCAGCTCCATCAAGTCTGCTTCAGGTGACATCCTCTGCTTAGAAGAAGTCTGGAGTTTTTAACCCCTTCGTGCCGACATTACACAAACATGCGGCCTCACAGAACTGGGCTTTTTTCCCCGCAGGGCGGCATATTTGCGTACCTGTATTTGTGCTGGGAATGCGCCGCACAGCGCACTCCCAGCACAAAGACCGCGGTGTCACTGACAGCCCCAGGTCCCGTTCTAATGATCGGTACTCCTGATTACGGGTCACATGATAGCCTCTGATTGGCTATCACAGTGATCAGTCACTGTATAGCCCGCCCCCTCCCTTTTTTTTGCTCTATGAATGGAGGAGAGAGATTCATTGTATATCTCTAACTTCTGGCATAGAGAAAAATAAATGGTTTAAAAAAAAAAAAAAAAATTAAAAAGATTAAAATTTTTTAAAAAATAAAATAAAAAAAAGAAAGAAAAAAAAAAACACCTAGATCAAGGTTTGATCTAGTTCAGTGCCAGGGTAAGTGTTTGGGTCAAGGCGAAAAGGGTCAAAAGGTCAGGATTGTTTTGTTTTTTTAAATTGCAATCAATGTCAGTGCGGTTTAAGTAAAAAAAACAAAAACAAAAAGCGCACTATTGTTTTTGGGCTGTACTACAGGTACAAACATAGTTACATAGTTAGTCTGGCTGAAAAAAGACAAAAGTCCATCCACTTCAACCATTAAATTAAAAAAAAAAAAAAAAAAAAAAAAAAAAAGTTATAATCCTATATCCACAGTTGATCCAGAGGAAGGTAAAACTAAAAACCCCCAGCAAAGTATGATCCACTTTGCTCCTGCAGGAAAAAAAAAAATCCTTCCTGACCCCCCGAGAGGCAATCGGATATTCCCTGGATCAACTTTACCTATAAATGTTATATCCAGTTATATTCTGTGTATCTAAGAAAGAATCCAGGACTTTTTTTAAAGCAATCTACTGAGCTGGCCAGAACCAACAACAAATAACATACACATATATGGTATCGCTGCGATCGTCAAGAGCTGAAAAATGTATTTTTGGTTGTTATTTGGTGGTAGGTTATGGTAGTAACAAGAAACACACAGCAAAGTATTAAAAAAAAAAAAAAAAAAATCCAAAATCCAAGCAAACAAAAGAAAATTGGGCTTTAGATACATTTTAAAGTTGACATTCAGTTAGAAATTTTTTCTTTTTTTTTCTTTTTAGGTATACAGCTCAGGACACTCTTCATTAGAGGAACATTATGTGACTAATATCCTTGCTAGTGGATGCTTACTATACAAATCCTCCAACTATTGATTCCAGATTCCCATCTCAGATGTGAACTTCCAGCCCTGCATGGGCTAGGAGTAGTGGCTGTGACTGCGAAGGACTCTTGCACTCCCCCTTTCTCCATTCACAGAATGCAACATGTTCACTGAATGGAAGAGGGGGCGGATGATGGACAGGATCTTCTCCATTCACAGAACTTGTTGCATTCTGTGAAAAAGACAGTTTTGTTAACGGGGGTGGGGGTGACCTTTACTGTTGCTGCTGAGTGAGTAACTTTAGCTGAATGGAAAGGTCACAGCTGTGGGGGGGGGGGGGGGATCTGGTGTCACAGAATAGGTGATTTTTACAGTAAGCAGCAGCCAAGAAGGACATGGGACCTTCTTTAGGGATCGGGCATTAAAAAAAAAAAAAAAAAAATTACATTTCAGCTTTAAGTGTGAAAAGGTTTAACCCCTTCGCTGCCGGGTCCATAAGGCGTACGGAACTACAGCACGGCTTTCAGCTGGTCAGGTCTGTATGCCGTACAGACCTGACTTTGTTCCTTCTGTTATAATCTCATGGTCACTCCAGTAGTGACCATGAGATTATAGCAGCAGAAATGTTCAGCAGACTCTGCTGAACACACCAATAACTCGGATCAGCGGATGATAATCTTCTGATCAGAGGTATTCACCTAAAATGTGCCAACAGTGTTTGCATAGACTCCTACTCATTCATAAACTGGGGCATAGTACAGACTCCTATTCATTCATATGCAGTGCAACAGTGGCTTCAGAGAAAGGGACTGAGGTCTGTCTTCAGTTCCTTTCTCGGTCTCAAAAAGTAGACATCAGGGGCCTGTTTAGACCCCTGATATCTCACCAAAGTCTCCCCTCCTCCAAAAAACAAAAAAATGTATAAAATATTAAACAAAAAATTTGTAGGGAAAAATAATAAAACAAAAAAACCCCAAAAAAAAACAAACACATAGTAGGGCCTCATTCACAAAGGGCATACTGCAGTGCACGCCCCTGCATGGCTATGTTTACACGCACAGGAATGTACAGGTGTTTTGTGCAGCCCTATTGATGTCAAATGGGATGTAGCAACTGCATGGGCACAGCTGCTGCTTGCAAGCATGGGGCTCACACTGTCTGCGTTCGGGGTCATACACCCACACAGATGTCAGGTTGGGAGCAGCGGCTGTGTCCCTGCATCCCAACTGAGATGAATATGACTGCCTGCATGGAGATGCACAGAACACCCGGGCATCCCCATACTCTTAAATACGCCTCTCTCTGCAGGAATACACTTTAGTACACCCCATCTGAAAGAGGCCCTAGTAGGAATTTTAAAACTTATGTTGGGTTTGTGTCTGCTAATAATGATTGTAATGTATTTTTAGTGAAAATAGTGATGATAAACATTTGCGCAACTATTGCCGGGCCTAAAAAAAAAACAAACAAAAAAAAAAACAGTAGCACTTTTTATTTATTCTACAGGTCATGTGCTTTCAGAAAATGTATGGTTTGGGGGTCTTTTACAAACTCTGAAAGCTATAAAAAGGGAAAAATGATAACTTCAGATTATTTAGAGGGAATTGTTTTTATTTATGTTTTCATCATTTCAGTTTTCATCATTTCACAAAAAGACACAATTTAAAAAATGACAAATATTTGTAATTTTGAACTCAATGCAGTTTGAGCTTTTATATATGGGAGGAATTTAGAAAGAATTTTGTAATATTTGCATCCGCGAATAAGGTTTTTTGTGTATTTTTAGTGAAATTACTGTTTTGATAAGCATTTGCATAAATATCACAGGGCCTGGGGAACAAAAAAAAAAAAAAAAAAAGTAACACCTTTTTATTCTATTGGTCGTGTGCTTTAAAAAAAAAATAATTATGGTTTGGGAGGTCTTTTACAAAATCTGAAAAATGCAAGGGCAAAAAAAAAAAAAGGAAAAATTGCAAAATGGTTTGGCAACCTGAATGGAGCACAGGGCCTGGCAGCCAAAGTCTTAAAAGTTTAGGAAAGCCTGCATTCCATACAGCAGCACAAGGGTCCTCCCCCACCCTCATGTCCTCAATTTTTTGTTTTGTTTAAAGGACCACTCTAAAATGATAGATTTCACCTTTGTCACGAGGGTAAAGGTCAACCAAGTACTACCAAGGATTCTAAATGAAAAGTTTCTTTGCAGGAACCATTTTCCAGTTTCCAGAAATGTGTCAAAGTGATCAAATGTCCTGCTACTGAAAAAGAAGCCCCAACATATTCCTACTACACCAATTGATAACATTAGAGATTGACATTTTTCTTTCTTTCAGAATCTTGCAGACGTACCAGGTAACTATATACACAGACCGGAGGACCAGGAAAGTCACCAGCAGGCCGTACATGACCTAGAAGTGGAGAAAACAGACACACAGTTAACAGAGGCACCTGATGTGATAGAAGTTATGCTGGGCACTGCAGCCTATCCATTCAAGAGATACAAAGGAAACCGAGCAGGACGCCAGATTAGTGTATGGTTGAAAAGAACTTTAAAAAAGAGGCAGGGCCTCAGAAACCCACTGCACAGTGGCTAAACGGTTAGCACTTCTGCCTGGCAGTACTCGGGTCGTCGGTTCGAATCCCAAAAAAAGCACCACCTGCCTAGAGTTTTCAGGTTCTCCCTGTGCCTGTGTGGGTTTCCTCCCACATTCCAAAGACATGCTGGTAGGTGAATTGGCTCCTGTCTAAATTGGCCCTAGTATGTGTATGTATGAATGTAAGTTAGGGACCTTAGATTGTACACCCCTTGAGGGTTAGGGACTGATGTGAATGTACAATATATATGTAAAGTGCTGAGTAAATTGATGGCGCTATATAAGTACCTGAAATAAATAAAAATAAAATGCAGCCTATCAATTCACTATAGACCAGTGACATCACCGAAAATGCAGCCTATCCCTTCACTAGAGACCAGTGACATCACTGAGAATGCAGCCTATCCCTTCACTAGAGACCAGTGACATCACTGAAAATGCAGCCTATCCCTTCACTAGAGACCGGTGACATCACCGAGAATGCAGCCTATCCCTTCACTAGAGACCAGTGACATCACTGAAAATGCAGCCTATCCCTCACTAGAGACCAGTGACATCACTGAGAATGCAGCCTATCCATTCACTAGATACCGGGGACATCACTGACCAGTGACATCACTGAGAATGCAGCCTATCCATTCACTAAAGACCAGTGACATCACCGAGAATGCCGCCTATCCCTTCACTAGAGACCGGTGACATCACTGAGAATGCAGCCCGTCCCTTCACTAGAGACCGGTGACATCACTGAGAATGCAGCCTATCCCTTCACTAGAGACCGGTGATATCACCGAGAATACAGCCTATCCCTTCACTAGAGACCAGTGACATCACTGAGAATGCAGCCTATCCATTCACTAGAGACCGGTGACATCACTGAGAATGCAGCCTATCCCTTCACTAGAGACCGAGTGAGCCTATCACACTAGAGAATGCATCACCGAGAATGCCCTATCCATTCACTAGAGACCGGTGACATCACTGAGAATGCAGCCTATCCCTTCACTAGAGACCGGTGACATCACTGAGAATGCAGCCTATCCATTCACTAGAGACCAGAGATGTCACTGAGAATGCAGCCTATCCATTCACTAGAGACCAGAGATGTCACTGAGAATGCAGCCTATCCATTCACTAGAGACCATCACTTAGAATGAAGAGAAAAGTGTATATTTTCACGTTCGTGCTAAAGTGTTAAATTTTGAAGAAGTTACAAAGTTCATGGAAAAGAAAAAAAAAAAAAAAAAAACTTTTCAAAGATTGCCATCTAAGCTGCAGAGAAGGATCCTGTCAGCTCCTGCAATGGGAACCAGATGTGGACAGTAAAGTAATGAGGCAAGAGAGATTTCCCAGAATCCTCCACCCTCCCTATGCAGCTTTATCAGGAACAGACAACATGTATGTAGAAAAGGTCAGCCGCACAGCTGGAGAGCGGGGCCATTGTTGTACACCAGCCATCAGCTGTGCTTCGTACATCACAGGGGCTCTCTGCTCCCCTCTCTGCCATTAAACATTCTGTATATATTGAATGTCTTCAACTTTCCAGCACTGCTGTGACCACCCAATCTCAGTGCTCAACTTCTGGCCAAGATCGCTGCTTCCTAAAAGATCACAGGTCCATCTTACTGTAGCAGTCTGAACAAATGTAGCTCAATTATATTGAGGATCTGTTGAAATCGGCACTAGCATCAAATTATTTTTCATGTGAGAAAAATTAGTCATTTTCTACACAGGCAATTCTTTTTTCCAAATTAAAATCGTATCATAAATTGTATAAATCCTGCTCCTTCACCCCTGGATGCCAGGCAGAACCGCTCATTCCCTGTATCCTTTCCCATTATTGGAGTTTAAAGTGGATATAAAGCCAACCTTTTTTTGGTTTTGGATAGAGTTGTACCAGAGAAAATGGTCACCAGAACAAAAAGGAGATGGGGAATCTCCCCAACAGGGACACCAACAGCAATAAAAACATGACAGGGGGGGTTGAAACTTCCCCATTCTATCCAAAATAGAAAGAAAAATGTTTTGGCTTTCCATAATCTTTAAATGGTATCCAATAGGACCTCAAACAATAGGACCTCAGTCATCAACGCCATTCTGCAAGTACTGTACTTATGAAGGCAAATGCAATACTGTCATATTCATACAGCTAGATCAGCTCTGCATGGAAGCTTTCTCTACTGTGACTTATGTAAGAAATGCTGTCGTATATGAAGTGAAGAATGGGCACAGTTTGTGAGAATGTCAAGGGAGAGGATTTTCATATTAATCGGATATCCTATGGCCGGGAAAGCAAGACCATGACGAAACCTGTAGGGCAGAGCCTCGGGTAACGTCATAACGCTCAGTTGCCAGCCAGAGAGATGTTTGTTATATGAATTTCTAATTTGCCATATTTTGGGAGTACCTCGCTTCTCTCGTAAATAAGAACGTTCGTAATTTATTACACTATGGAGTTTTCCTTTCCTCTTTGGTGTAATATTACCTGGCCGGATCTGATTGGAGTCCATATATGAGAAGAGCTACATCCTTGCTTCCTGTGCCCTATTATAATTAAGCACATTTAGACCTCTTCTATTGTGGGGTCTTGGTTTCTGGTACTCGGCTCTGTGTTTTAATGTGGTAAAGGAAGAAACCCTTTACACTGAGGATCACCATTATACTTGTTTAACCACTTTCCGTCCGGCCTATGTAAACTGCCGGACGGGAGAGCTGCCTATGCGGGTGGACGTTTCTAAACGTTCCCCTGCATCCATTGCCTGTGAGCGCTCCCTGGGAGACCGTGGAACACAGATCGCTGTACGGGACCTCTGTGTGAGGTCCCAATTCATATGATCACTAATTGGCCAATCAGTGATCACATGAATAGTAATAAACAAGATGTCACTTTTGACATCTTTGCTTACTACGTGTGAAATCTGTGAATGATCACAGAGGTCACATGGTACAGGGCTATTCACAACAGCCTTGTACCATGTGACAAGCTGTGACCAATCACAGCATTTCTCAATGGCTGCAAGAATGCAGCCAGAGAGGAGAAATTATTGCTTTTTTACATCCTTTATGGGTGTAAGAGCAATCAGTGTAAAAAAAGAAAAAAAAAAAAAAATCTTCGATCACCCCCCAGAAGTAGTACAGTGTCATTATGGTGACACTGTACTGCTAGGGTGACAGCATGTTAAAAAAAAAAAACAAAAAAAAAACCACAAATATAAAAAAAAAATAAAAATGTAAAAATTTTTATTTTTATTTTTTAAATTACAATTTTTGGTTATAAACTAATTTGGGTTTTCTTTTCTTTTTTTCTTACTAAAAAGATGAATACATTTTGGCCAAGAATTATGAACAAAAATAATTTGCAAAAGAAAAACTTTTTTTTTCAAAATTTTTGGACTTTTTAATTTATATAGCAAAAATATAAAAATCCCAGTGGTGAATAAAGACCACCAAAATAAAGTTTTATCGGTCTCAAAAAAATAAAAAAAATTCATATGGGTACAGCGTTACACGACTGTGCAATTGTCATTCAAAATGCAATAGCGCTGAAAGCTGAAAATTGGCCTGGGCAGGAAGGGGGTGAAAGTGTCCGGGCTGGAAGTGGTTAAATGGACAGGACTAGTCACATTGTGTTTGAGCACTCCTTTCACTTATAAATAGGATTGTGTGTTTAGTGACATTTGTACCTTTTACACTATAGTAGCTTTTGTGAAAATTAAAAAAAAAAAAAAAAAGGAGGGAGAAGGGAGGAAGGAGGGAGAAGGGAGGGAAGAAGGGAGGAGGGAGGAGGAGGAGGGAGGAGGAGGAGAAGAAGGTGGTACATGTATCATATCAGTGAGGGCTGCTGTTCTAAAATCAAGTATAGGTGTTCTGCTGAAATTAGTTATTTGATAGATTGGAGGTATTCTTTAATTTTTTAGATCGCAGTTTTAGACACCAAGCGCAAATTATTTGATTTCACGGAGTATTCTTATTGTCTACTATGCAGAGATATCCAGTTTGGACATGGGCAAAAGTGCATGTACAGTCCCCTAAAAGGGTTCCTGCACATTTCTAAAACAATATCTCAGTTTTGGTTATTAAACTGGAGTTTGTCCGAGAAATCTTCTGATCCACTAACCTAGCAGTACAAAGACAACATAAAGATTCCAAGACATGTGGATAACATACCTGGTGGAATACAGGTTCCTTCCATTTTAAGTACACCTGAGAAGAGGAAAAAATGAAAGGATTAACGGTGGACCAAACAACACTGTACCTGACCTACATATTCTGATTTGCAGTAGAGAATACAAATAGAGTTCTGGGGTGCATCACTACAGGGATCAAAGGAGGTCCTGATTCCCCTTATTTAGATCTTTAGTTATCACTAGAAGGATCACCAGCAAGAGGACGGAGGTCCTGATCGCCCTATATAGATCTTGAGGGATAACTAGGGAGGTCACCAGCAGAAGAAAGGAGGTCCGATTTCTCTACATAGATCTTTATATACAGGGGTCACCAGCAGGAGGAAGGAGGTTCTGATTCCTCTATATAGATCTTTAGGTATAACTAGAGGGGTCCCTAGCAGGAGAAAAATATTCTGATTCCACCATTTATAGGTCTTTAGTTATCAATGGAGGGATCACCAGCAGGAAGGAGGTCCTGATTCCTCTAAATGGATCTTTAGTTATCACTAGAAGGATCACCAGAAAGAGGAAGGAGGTCCTGATTCCTTTATATAGATCTTTATTATCACTAGTGGGATCACCAGCAGGAGGAAGGAGGTCTCGATTCCTCTATATGAATCTTTAATTATCACTAGAGGGATCACCAGCAGGAGGAAGGAGGTCCTGATTCCTCTATATAGATCTTTAGTGTCACTAGTGGGATCACCAGCAGGACGAAAGAAGGAGGTCCTGATTCCTCTATATGGATCTTTAGTTATCACTAGAAGGATCACCACCAGGAAGGAGGTCCTGATTCCTCTATATGGATCTTCATTATCACTAGTGGGATCACCAGCAGGAGGAAAGAAGTCCCGATTCCTCCATATAGATCTTTATTATCACTAGTGGGATCACCAGAAGGAGGTCCTGATTCCTCTATATGGCTCTTTATGATCACTAGAAGGATCACCAGCAGGAGGAAGGAGGTCCTGATTCCCCTATATGAATCTTTGGTTAGACCTCATTTAGAATACGGTGTCCAGTTGTGGTGACCTCACTTACAAAGTCTGGGAAATAAGACATCAAAAGAGACTACGGGAACTTAATATGTATAGTCTGGAGGAAAGAAGGGAAAAGGGGAACATTACTGAAACCTTTAGATATATGAAGAGTGTGATGAGGTTCAGGAGGGCAGGATTTTCAGTAGAACGCTAAGATGCCATCAAGAACACAAGAACACGAGCTCAGACTAGCAGGAGGAGGACTCAAAACTAACTTTACAGAGTATTTAACAAAAGAGTAGTTGATGCTTGAAAATCTCTCAGCAACGGGTAGCACGTCAGCCAACAGTAAGTAAATTTAAACACGCTTTGGACAAACACAAATTTATACTCAGACAAAAAAAGGTTAAAAAAAAAAAAAACCCAAAGTGACAGACAGCATTATGAATTCGCACACAATATCTCAAAAAGATACTTACTAGTGTCACTGTCAGACTGAAAAGTCCTAACAGAACTAGCAACACATAATTATATGAATTTCTGCTTTTGAAACATTCAAATCTGAAAGAAAAAAAAAAATCATAATGAAAGAACTTCTTGAAAACCACACTTCACATCAACAGAGCAAATGTCCGCAATGTCAAATAACGGTCTGAATTTAAAGGACCTCTTTCCTGCTATGGAAATGAAAGCTATTGCTATAAGCTGGTCCTACGCATATATACAGCCCTGTTACAAGAACTTATCACGCTGAAAGTGCGTACCCTGCATGCTCCCAGCACTGTAGCTGGCAGGGATCCGTAAGCTCCCGATGCATATCTGTGATTGAGAGCTTTCCGATGTGACCGATGTGACAGCCAATCACAACCCGAATGCCTGCCTCCCGGCTTTTAGAACTCCTAATGGGCCGGGAGGAAGTCAGCGCACAGGGGTTAATAAACGTGCAGTACATTACTCAAAATCTTTAAAAGTGATTTTTTTTTTTAACCACTTCAATACCGGGCACTTTCACCCCCTTCCTGCCAATTTTCAGGTTTCAGCGCTCTCACATTTTGAATGACAATTGCGCAGTCATGCGACACTGTACCCAAACTACATTTTTATCATTTTGTTCATATAACTAGAGCTTTCTTTTGGTGGTATTTAATCACCACCAGGGTTTTTATTTTTTTGCTAAATTAAACAAAAGACTGAAAATTCTGAAGAAAAAAATAAAAAAAAAAAAAAAAAAAAAACAAAAACACGTTTTTGTTTCGGTTATAAAAGTTTGCAAATAAATAATTTTTCTTCATAAATTTAGGCCGAGATGTATTCTGCTACATTTCTTTGGTGAAAATAACCCAAATCAGTATTATTTAGTCTGTAGGAAAGTTATAGAGTTCACAAACTATGGGATATAGCTGAATATTGATCAATCCTGAAGTACTGACAGCCAATCTAATTTCCTGAGGTCCAAGAATGCCAGAGTACAGATATCCCTCAAATGACCCATTTTTGCAAAGTAGACAGTCTGAAAAACTCGCCATGCCTCTTATGAAACACGTCAAAGTAATTTTTTGGTCATCATTTTTCAGAAAATTAATAACAAAAAAAAAAAAAAAAAAAAAAAACCAAATTTTTCTTTTTTTTTTTTTACATACCGTCACCAATGCAGTACAGCGTCATCATAACTGGTGATCAGGGCAGTACAGAAAAAACTTTAATTATTTTTTTAAATTCATTACATTTCTCTTTTAAGATTTTTTTTTTTTTTCCATATTACACTATGCCAAAAGTAGTATAAATGTTACCATAGTAAGCCGGTACACAGATCTGTCACCGGCCGTGTACCTCGGACACAGCCGATGACAGATCTTGCCACAGCACGGCCCTGCGGGCATGCGCAGTGCACGTTCGGGGAAAGACACCATATGGCGTCGTCCTGGAGGGATGGAGTGTTCACCCGGCCACTGGTTAAATATCAAACTTGTCATACTTACCTGCTCTGTGCAGTGGTTTTGCACAGAGCAGCCCCAATCCTCCTCTTCTCGGTTCCCGTGCCAGCGCTCCTAGCCACTCCCTCCTGTCGGGTGCCCCTATCGCAAGCGGCTTAAGCCATGGTTCTATGTGTCCACACACACACACACACGAGCTGTATCTTGGACCAACCCCCTCCCTCTCCTGACAGGCTCACTGGCTGTGATTTAAACAGCCAATCAGGAGTGAGAGTCCCCGGAGAACCAAGACTCATGGACAGAGATGGATGGGGCTCAGGTAAGTGTTGGGGGGGGGGCCGATACACACAGAAGTTTTTTACCTTTATGCATACAATGCATGAAGATAAAAAAAATCCTTGAGCCTTCATAACCATTTTAAGTCTAAAAGAACTCCATTAGTTAGTTATTTGACTTTATATCTGTCTCAAGTGGTTCAAAATGCAATATTTTTTTTACCTTAATGCATTCCATGAATAAAAGTAAAAAACAGCCCATTACACCCCCCCCCGTTCCAAAAACCACACTTACTTGGCTGCTCTCACTGCTCCAGCGCCGTCCCAGCTCCCCCCCTCTTCCCTTCCTGTTCTCATAGGAGACACTGAGGTGCAGCGAGAGCCGCAGGCTCCTGCTGCTGTCAAACTCCTGTGAGGTGGGAGCAGGAGGCGTGGCTTATGCTGCACATGTGTCTATGGATGCACACAGCCCAGACTGTGAGGGGGCAAGCAGAGGTGCTCAATTATGAACTGGCCTGCTGCAAGCGGCAGTTGGGGACTGCCAAAGAGGATGCAGAACACTGCACAGAACAGGTAAGTATAACATCTTTTTTTTTTTTAAAAAAAAAAAAAAAAAAAAAAAATTTATATACACATTTCTTTGGGATCACTTTAAAAAAAAAAAAAAAAAAAAAAAAAAAGACCTTTTACAATCACTTTAAAGCCGCTTGCTATGGGGGGGGCTCGTGTGTGTTCACTCCTGAACACCACATTTTTTCATTTATTTATTTGGAGATCGAGTACACCAGAGTCACCAGCATACCTAAAAGTAGCCATTAGATGGCAGTGTAAGAGCAGATCTAGCAGCTGATCATTCCAATAGGGCTCATTAGAGGAGACTCAAATGTGGAGTGCTGGTAATCTTCAGGCCTCCTTCACAAGCAGACATCATAGATGCGGTGTGTGATTTACATGTTACCACTGAATTCTATGCAATGTAAAGTCTCCCATGACCACGCTGCCTTTTCTTCAAAATCTATCCAACTGCCCTTTGTGCACCCCACCCCCACACCTTTATAAAGGAAACTCACCAACACATTTTGCACTATTTGGCTGCAAGTGTGCCCATTTTCCATATAGGCTTTATAGTAAGTGGCAAAGCAAGAAGTAATATTTACAGTCAGGTCCATAAATATTGGGACATCGACACAATTCTAACTTGCTTCACTGATAGTGACAGCTCTTTGGATCTCATCTTGAGAGTTGACAGCAACAGATTCCAAATGCAAATAGCACACTTGAAATGAACTCTGGACCTTTTATCTGCTCATTGTAATTGGGACAATGAGGGAATAACACACACCTGGCCATGGAACAGCTGAGAAGCCAATTGTCCCATTACTTTTGGTCCCTTAACAAGTGGGAGGCACATATGCAAACTGTTGTAATTCCTACACCGTTCACCTGATTTGGATGTAAATCGCCTTAAATTAAAGCTGACAGTCTGCAGTTAAAGCACATATTGTTTGTTTCATTTCAAATCCATTGTGGTGGTGTATAGAGCCAAAAATGTTAGAATTGTGTTGATGTCCCAATATTTATGGACCTGACTGTAAGTGTGGAATAAAGCCAATAGTAAACCAATAAGCTGTGAAAAACTGGCATACTGCAGCGAGGGACAGACTGAAATCTCATGGGGCCCCTGGGCAATAGGGGGATCATGGGGCCCCTGTGTCCTCGCGCCCACACTCAAACCATACCCAAAAAAGCATATGAAAAAGGTACCAGGGGCATCTCATGGGGCCTCCTACTGACCCCAGGCCCTCGGCAGTGCCAGAGTTCCCAAATGGTCAGTCCGCCCCTGACTGCAGCCAAAGCATATAGTGCGTGAAAAAGTATTTGCCTCCTTTTCTGGTTTAGTTTTTTGTTTTTTTCTATTTTGCATATTTGTCAAATTTCAATGATTCAGATCAGCAAACAAATTTTAATATTACACAAAGATAACCTGAGTAAATGCAAAATGCAGTTCTTAAATGATTATTTATTAGGGGAAAAACAAATCTGTCCAAATCTGCCTGGCCCTATGTAAAAAAGTAACTGTAATTTTTTTTTATTTTTCAGGTACTTGTATAGTCAATTTACACAGAGCTATATATAAATAAAACATTCCCATCAGTCCCTAACCCTCAAGGGGTGTACAATCTAAGGTCCCTAACTCACATTCATACATACACATACTAGGGACAATTTAGACAGGAGCCAAATAACCTACCAGTATGTCTTTGGAGCGTGGAAGGAAACCAGAGTACCCAGAGGAAACCCACACAGGTACAGGGAGAACATGCAAACTCCAGGCAGGTGGTGTCGTGGTTGGGATTCGAACCAACAACCCTAGTACTGCCAGGCGGAAGTGCTAACCATTTAGCCACCGTGCTTGCAAAGTATTCCACCCATGATCAGAGGAATGCTGCAGAATCTCAGAATAAAGGTCTTCCCATACCTTCCGTACGGGCAGACAGTTCCTGGAGAGCAGGAACTATGAGAGTGCTCAACAGCGCCCTCGCAGGTCACTGAGAACTACAAGCTGTTTGCTGCAGTGGCAGACGGTATTTGTAGTTCATTCATTCACAGATAGCGGTGAATGAATGATGCAGCCATGTGGGTGGAGCCCTGCACCGCCACGCTCTTTTTACAAATTTTGACAGTGGGTAGGGGAACAAGATCTCCAGCTCGCTGTCACAATGGAGGTTCAGGGAAGTGGAGGCAGGTGCTCTTTAGTAACATGTTACATTATATACACACACACACACATATATATTTATACACACACACACACACACATTATATATATATATATCCTAGATTGTAAGCTCGAAAGAGCAGGGCCCTCGATCCCCTCATGTTTTGCATTGTATTGGTATTGTTCTGTCACATGCTCTGTCCCCCTTTGTAATGTACAGCGCTGAGCAAACCATTGGCGCTTTATAAATACTGAATAATAATAATTATATATGTGAACTCTGGTTTAGAAAAAATTATTTTCAAAAATTATTTTTAAAAAATTTATTTTCAGATTTGTTTTTGGTCTCGTGTATTTGGCCTCCTTTTCACCTTGTTCCATACCCCGGGATGCTCGGTACGCTTTGCTTCATTTTCTCATACCAGGCCTGTTGGCTCACCAGCAGAAGTTGGCTTCCGATTTGTTCTTGTCGGCCACTAGAATAGCTCAGGCATGGAAGAGCCAGTCTGTCCCTCTTCAGGGGGTGCGGGACCGTATGACCACTCTGATGCTCAATGTACAGATGTCAAGTATCTGTAACGACTCCCAACGGAAATTGTTGAAAATATGGGAGCCGTGGTGGACATATGCTTTTCCCACGCTCCCCCCGGCTAGTCTGGGTTTGTGATGTTGTTCGGTATTGGCGTTCCCGGACCCCTGCTCCTGGTCTGGTCTTCCTTTTCTACTCCTCTTCCTATTTTTTGTTTGTCTTTTGTGTGGCGGTGGATAGCTGCCTTTGGTTTGAGCAACTGTCAGTGTTCTAGCACTGGTTTTGTAATCTATGTGCCATTGATAGCCCCTGCCTGAGTGCACCTTTTGCTCTGTTGGTGTTAGAACATTGTTTTCTATACTTTTTATGTCCAATTGATAGCCCTGCGTGGGCGTGTCTTCTTACTCACGTCTTCTTGAAAGGTTTATAAATTAATAAAAACCATTGAAATACAAAAATTCTTTTCAAAAAGGTCCATTCTATTGCTCTCAGCCTCCTCCAATATTTTTTTTTCTGCGAAGATCTGACTTCCTGTAAGAGGGTGGCTACGTTTGTTCTTCGTGGTCCCACTGTATGTAGGAATGTAGCCACCCTCTCTTGCTCGCTCCAGAGATGGACTACAGGATCCTTTGGATCAACTGTGGGTGTAGGATTAGAACTTTTTTTTTTTTCTCTCTATGGTTGAACTGGATTGACTTGTCTTTTTTCAGCCAGACTAACTATGTGTAGTGTGCATAACCGCAACGAACGTACACTGCTTGTTCCAAACAAGCAAAAGTGAGGGGGAAAAGGAGCTGTTCAGGAGCTCACAAATAACATTACAAGGAAGCAGAAAAACAAAGAAAGAACCATTTAACTAAAAATAGATTACACGGCCATTACAAAGTGGATGTACATGGAATAATTTGGGAGAATATGGATATTTAATTCTGTATGAATATGGATATTTAATTCTATGGATTACTTTAATTCTCAAAACAAAAAGTAAACAATCTACAATAAAATCTGAATAAATCTCTCACTTGCACCCTTATCCCACCTCCAAACCAACACTCAATACGGCACTCAGGAAGTTTATAGGTAGACCTGGAGGTCAAAAACGACCAGATCCCTTCTGGAATCAAAAGCCATTGTTTTTGCTGACAGATTTTGCAACTTTTGGTCAGATCTCTGAGAATTTGACCCTTAAGGCTCACTCTTGCAGTCATTGCTGCCCCTCCAAAGAGGATTGCTTTGCAGCAGCATATGACATGCAGCGGAGAGGCGACAGGTTGCCTTCCAGACACCTGTTCTAGCCCTGGTTCACACTATTGCGGAACGTGTGATCCGCGCTTGTGAGGGCACAGCAGCCCATTCTTTTGAATCGGCCGCTGTAGCTGCGTTTCCGCACAAAAAAAAAAAAAAAAAAAAGGTGCATGCACCTTTTTGAAAACATGACTGCAGGGAAAACGCATGCAGTTTTCTTGACCATGCAGTTTCTCTGCGGTTCCCGTACCAGCAATCGCACTGCGGTCAGAGATGTGGCCATGCGGTCCGCGTTTGCGTGGGCACAGCAGCCATTCTTTTGAATCGGCCGCTGTAGCCGTGTATCCACACACAAAAAAAAAAAAAAAGAAAAAAAGGAAGGTGCTTCTGAAAACATGGCAGCAGGGAAACCGCATGCATTTTTCTTGACCATGCAGCTTCTCTGTGGTTCCCGCATTGCGGCTTGAGATGTGGTCATGTGGTCCGTGTTTGCGCGGGCACAGCAGCCCATTCTTTTGAATGTGCCACTCTAACCGCGTTTCCGCACAAAAAAAAAAAAAAAAAAAAAAAAAGGTGAATGCGCCTTTCTAAAAACATGGCTGCAGGGAAAATGCATGCAGTTTTCTTGACCATGCAGTTTCTCTGCGGTTCCAGCACCAGCAATCGCACTGCGGCCTGAGATGCGTGGGGATGCCATTCAAAATTAATGGCAGCCCTGCACATCTCGTAAGAGCAGCACGATGCAGCTATGGGTGGTTGCGGGTGTGGGAACTGATGCGACTCCTGCACCCGCCACCAGCACACAGTGTGAACCAACATAAGTATACATATCTCATTCCTGACTTATCCTTGTGCAAGCTACAATTCACTGTAGTAGTCGCCGCTACTACAGTGATAGCAGCAGTCCTCCAAGTCCAGTGCCAGGTGGCTGCCCTTTTGCAGAGTAACCACAGGGGGTCGCTCACTCAGCATGGTTGCCATTCAGAGAAAGCTACTATTTTTTTGTTTCATGTAAACAAAGTGTTCTCTGATTGGATGAGATGGAGAGGCAGGGTGGTGACATCATGATCTCCACTCATCCAAGCAGAGAATGCCCTGTATTCATTATAATGGCATTGGTGCCAAGTGAGCAAACCCTTGTGGTTACTATGCTAAAGGGCTGATGAATGACACTGGACCCAGAAGACTGCTGCTAGCGCAGACTACTGCAGCAATATGCAGCTTACACTGGAATCAGTCAGATACAAGATATGCCCGATTTATTGATCCAAGCCAGACCAATGTAACTATGCTATAAAATGTAAAACTAAGTTTCAGTGTGAACCATTAGGAAGTCTGCAGCACTGTGCCACAGGGTCACATCTGACAGTTGAACAACCTGCACAGGGCTGTCAGTCTAACAGCATGAACTTGCTTACAGGAGGCATGACCTCAGCTGTTTCTTCTGTTCCTTCATTATCCAATCAGCAGACTGGGGAGCAGTGTCCCTGACCATGGCCATATATGGAACGAAATTCGGCCAGTTCAGCAGAAAACCAGATGTATTTCAATCCATCTCTGTTCAACAAAAGCCAATCGTTAGACATCTGTCGAACGGTCCTGCTGGAAAACCAGCATTTGATCAATGCATGCACCCAATGGGGTTGTCAGTCGAGTAGCACGACATTGTGTATGTGTATTCTGATGGCGGGGGGGGGGCTCAGGGAGTTCTATTATTATACAGGATTTATATAGCGCCAACAGTTTGCTCAGCGCTTTACAATATAAAGGGAGACGATACAGCAACAATACAGTTCAATACAAGAGGGAAAGGAGGGCCCTGCTCCTTGGAGCTTACAATCTAGGAGGGAGGGGCTAGTGGTACAAAAGGTAGTAACTGTGGGGGATGGACTGGTAGGAGGAATAGAAGATTCCATTATTAGCTGAAGGTAGGATAGGCTTCCCTGAGATCGCCTAAAAGTGAGCAGAGTAGGCGATAGTCTGATAAATTGGGGTAGAGAGTTCCAGAAGATGGGGGAAGCTCTGGAGAAGTCCTGGAGATGAGCATGGGAGGAGAAGACAAGGGAGATAGAGAGCAGGAGGTCGTGCGAGGAGCAAAGAGTACGGTTTGGGTGATATTTGGAGACAAGATTGGTGATGTAATTTGGGGCAGAGTTATAAATGGCTTTATAGGTTATTGTTAATGTATTGAATTTTATTCGTTGGGCAATGGGAAGCCAGTGGAGGGATTGGCAGAGAGGGGTGGAGGACACGGAGTGGAGGCCAGTGGGAGGGATTGGCAGAGAGGGGTGGAGGACACGGAGTGGAGACCAGTGGAGGGATTGGCAGAGAGGGGTGGAGGACACGGAGTGGAGACCAGTGGAGGGATTGGCAGAGAGGGGTGGCAGATACAGAACGATTAGTAAGGTGGATGAGTCTGGCAGCAGCATTCATGACTGATTGAAGAGGGGATAGCCTGCGATGAGGTAGGCTAATGAGGAGGGAGTTACAATAGTCAATAGTCCTACTGTCAGCACACAGACACAGCACGGGGGATTCCCCCATCGACCTTGAAAGTGTGGATGGGGAAACTGGTTCAGTTTTCTGCATTTAATTAAGTGGCTGAATGAAAAAAAAAATTGGGCCACGTATGGCCAGCTTTACTGTAGTAAAGTATGCCAACCTGACTGTGCCGTGTGGCATGGGTGTCTGGATCACCAGAGTAGACAAACAAATACATTTTTTTTTTTTTTTTTTGCCATGTGCAACAGTTCAGAGATCTGAATATTTAGCGGTCTATCTGGAGCTCAGCATTAAAATAAAATAAAAAATTAAGTAACAGTTACTTACAGGCAGTAGACAAAGACACTACAGCTGTAGATCATGGGCAATTCATCCAGCAGCTGAACAGAAGAAAAAAAAAAAAAGAAAACACAACCATTGTTACACAACAGAATCCTCCTGGACATACATTTACTTATTTATTTCAGGTACTTATTTAGCGCCACCAATTTATGCAGCACTTTACATATATATTGTACATTCACGTCAGTCCCTAACCTTTGCATTTGACTTTTTTCTACAGCCAGTAAGCTCCCCAGCATGTTATCCTATGTGTCCACGCACACAGACTGTAATCAACGTTTTTTGGCTGGAAAAAAAAACAACTCAGGACTAGTGGGTTTCTAGGGGTGATTTTTTAGCTGGAAAAATGCTCTAACGCTGAAAAAACACGGCAAAACGGCAAAAAAAATAAATAAAAACCGCAAACGTGGGAAAACGCTAATGCAAAAAAAACGCTAAAAAAAAAAAAGCTGAAAAACTTTACACAGCTAACGTTACCATTGTTATCAAAACGTCCAGTGTGCATGAGGACTAAATGCCATTACCAGCGGTTTTTTATCCAGCTTCTTTCCAGCATTCTTTGAAAACACTGGTGTGCATGGAGCCTAAAAGGTTTAGCCAGTTTAAATTTTTTTTTTTGAAGCAGCCTTGACCTTCCTCTTCTTAGAGTCCCCCACCCCTGCTCATGGCACCTTCCCTACCCGCTGCTTGCTCTGGAGGCACTCCTGTGTGCTCGATCCTGAGCCATTAGACACAGAACCCGGCTTGGCCCCACCCCTGCTCCCTGACTGCTCGACCCTCCCTCTTAGATTGTAAGCTCCTGTATTAATTGGTATTGTACTTGCACTGTCCGCCCTTATGTTGTAAAGCACTGCGTAAACTGTTGCTCCTATATAAATCCTGTATAATAAAATATTAATAATAATGCTACATGGAGGCCTCTGCTATGATAGCCAATCTCATCGGTGTCCTTTAACCACCTCCCATCCGGCCATTGTATATAAAACAGCCGGTCGGTGGCAGTGCAGGGTCGGGTGGCCGTTTATAAATGGTCTCCCCGCACCCTGCTTCTGCGCGCTCCCTGGGAGCGCGCCGCACCGCAATCTGGTGCCCGCAGTGTCCTCCAGATACAGTGGAACACTGATTGTCGGACGGGACCTCTGTGTGAGGTCCCGATCATGTGATCACTGTTTGGCCAATCAGTAATCACATGCAGAGTAGTAAGCAAGATGTCACTTGTGACATCATTGCTTACTACGTGTGAAATCTGTGAATGATCACAGAGGTCACATGGTACAAGGTTATTCACAACAGCCTTATACCATGTGACAAGCTGTGACCAATCACAGCTCATTCAGTAGTTCTCAATGGCTTCAAAAATGTAGCTAGAGAGAAGGAGGAATGATTGCTTTTACAGCCTTTATGGGTGTAAAAAAACAATCAGTGTAAAAAAAAAAAAAAAAAAAATCACCCCCCACAAATAGTACAGTGTCACCATGGTGACACTGTACTGCTAGGGTGACAGTATGTAAAAAAAAAAAAAAAAAACTTTTTTTTACTAAAAAGATAACGGAATTGTGGCAAAGATTTATGATTAAATATTATTTATTTGCAAAATTTTATAAGAAACTTTTTTTCAAAATTTTGGGACATTTTCATTTACATAGAAAAAAAAAATTAAAATCCTAGTGGTGAATAAATACCACCAAAATAAAGCTTTATCTGTCTCAAACAAATGCTAAAACATTCATATGGGTATAGTGTTGCATGACCGCGCAATTATCATTCAAGTGTGATAGCGCTGAAAGCTGAAAATTGGCCTGGGCAGGAAGGGGGTAAAAGTGTCCGGACTGGAAGTGGTTAAGAAGTTACCTGCATTTCGTATTGTAGCGTCATGTGGAAGCACCAGGATCCCATTCCCACAGCTGAAATGAAAAAAAAAAGGAAAGAGGAATTACTGGACAGAGGGGATGGTCAAGGCCTCCAGTGATGCAATGCTGTGAATACAGTGCTATATCACACAAAAAAAGCCTATGGTGGAGGAAAAGGTCTGAAATTGTGTCTAGTTTTGTGTGTCTTCCCAGCGTGGGGATTTCTAACTAGATGTGCGTTTTGTATCAAAAATTTGGACAAAATTTTTGTTATTTGGATGTATCTGAATTTCCGGATTACAACCGTAACGGATATTAGAAGAATCTGAAAAAACAAAACAAAATTTTGTCCAAAATTTTAAATCGAATTTGAAAACGAAATTCAATTCAAAAACAAATTTGAAAAGAGCCATTGGCTCCCTCTGCTCTTGGCCAAGCCTGTGAGAGCCACTACAGATGGGCATAGCGCTGGATTGAGTGAGGACTCGGGTAAGTATATGAGGGGGGTGAGATATGAGATACAGTTACTTAAACATTCTCTGTTAATGCAAGGAATTCATTAAGGTAACACAAAGGTTTAGGCTTTAGAACCACTTTAAATGCCCATTTAGGTCCGGCAAAAAGCAGTTTTACTCACCTGATCCTCCTCTCCCACAGCTAAATTTATGTAGAAAAAGAAGGAAATGAACTAGTAGGACTTTTGATCCTGGCACAGCCATTATACAACAGCAAAAGAATGCTAAAAGGTGTATGCTTCATGAACTGGGATATATTAAAGCAGAACTCCAGAGCTCCTCATTCAACCCACTACCTTTGAGCCCAAGTCATCCACTGTGAGGGGGCCCCAGGTCGGGGCCGTGTACCTTCCAGAGTGCCCCTTACATCCTTCCTCCAGAGTGCCCCCTTAATACAGTAGTACTCAGGGGGCACTCTGGATGTAAAAAGGGCACCACCGAACCATTAAGGGGGCACTCAGCCTATGACTGAACTTTGAAAGGTGAAGCAGCAAAGTTGCCGTCAGCACAAGAACTGAACTAAGACTGGTTCCTGCAACCTGTTTTCCCATGTTCCGATGGTTGCAGGATGTCTAATATCATCAAATCCAAAACAGGCCATATCCCTGCACAGGGACATGAGGATGCCGAGGGACAGTGCACTATGTAGGGGAGCAGAGGAGAGCACTGGTAAAGAAATGGGTTAAAAAAACAAAAATAAAAACAAAAAAAAACACGCAAAATAAAATAAAAAAAAGCACAAAATAAAAAAAAAAACGCACAAAATAAAAAAAAAACAAAATAAAAAAAAAGCACAAAATAAAAAAACACACAAAATAAAAAAACACACAAAATAAAAAACAGCATTTTGATTTTGTGGCCCCCTAGACATAAGCATTTAACCCTTAAAGTGCTTGGGCAGCCACACTGCAAGGAAGCCATCCATATACAAGTATCATGTGACCTGCTGTAATTGGTCACAGTGGTAACTTGGTACCTGCAATGGTTTGGTACACAGATCAGTAATCGGCTGTGTCTGCTGGACACAGCCTGTGACAGATCTCACTGCAGCGTGGCCCCGCAGGCGCACGAGGCGGTGATCCAGGACGACGTCATATGACGTTCATCTGGATTGACGAAAGGCCCGTCTGGCTGTCATTTTACTATAGGCCGACGGGAACTGGTTAAGGGGGATTACTGCAGAAAAAGCGGTTTTCTCTATCATCTTATTAGACCATTTATCTCTTTTTTTTTTTTATTTGTTGGAGTTTTGCTTTAACACTATAGAATGTACCCGTACGTCCTCTAGTTGAAGCGGGGACACAGGATGAACTCAGCAGCAGTATTTTCAGCTGGTGATGCTGAAAGCTATAAAAGCAATCTGAGCAGCTAAACAGCCACTGGATTTCTTTTACAGGCGGCGGAAGGTCCCAAGTGTTAGGTACTGCCGCAAACTTTATAACAAGAGCAATAATGCTAGCACCATTAAACTGGTAACCAGTAAAGACTTTAAAAGCTCCACCCATGGAGATTTAAGTACCGTAGTTTGTCACCATTCCATGAGTGTGCACAATTTTAAAGTTTGGTGACATGTTGGGTATCTATTTACTCGGCTTATCTTTTATATTTTCCAAAACAATTGGGTAATATATTGTAATTCTGTGCATTAAAATTCATTAAAGTGTATTTTTTTTTAAAAAAAAATTGTGTTTGTGCAAATACCATGTGACATAACAAAATTGCAACAACCACCATTTTATTCTCCAGGTCTTCTGATTGAAAAAAAATATATAATTTTTGGGGTTTCCAAGTAAATTTCTAGCAAAAAATGCTGATTTTTGCAGATAGAAGTGTCAGCATTGGCCCCTGTAAGCAAGTGGTTAACATATCCAGTGGCAGAACTACCAATATTACTAAGGGGGCACGCCAGGAGGAGGCTGTAAGGGGGCACGCCAGGAGGAGGCTGTAAGGGGGCACGCCAGGAGCAGGCTGTAAGGGGGCACGCCAGGAGCAGGCTGTAAGGGGGCACGCCAGGAGCAGGCTGTAAGGGGGCACGCCAGGAGCAGGCTGTAAGGGGGCACGCCAGGAGCAGGCTGTAAGGGGGCACGCCAGGAGCAGGCTGTAAGGGGGCACGCCAGGAGCAGGCTGTAAGGGGGCACGCCAGGAGCAGGCTGTAAGGGGGCACGCCAGGAGCAGGCTGTAAGGGGGCACGCCAGGAGCAGGCTGTAAGGGGGCACGCCAGGAGCAGGCTGTAAGGGGGCACGCCAGGAGCAGGCTGTAAGGGGGCACGCCAGGAGCAGGCTGTAAGGGGGCACGCCAGGAGCAGGCTGTAAGGGGGCACGCCAGGAGCAGGCTGTAAGGGGGCACGCCAGGAGCAGGCTGTAAGGGGGCACGCCAGGAGCAGGCTGTAAGGGGGCACGCCAGGAGCAGGCTGTAAGGGGGCACGCCAGGAGCAGGCTGTAAGGGGGCACGCCAGGAGCAGGCTGTAAGGGGGCACGCCAGGAGCAGGCTGTAAGGGGGCACGCCAGGAGCAGGCTGTAAGGGGGCACGCCAGGAGCAGGCTGTAAGGGGGCACGCCAGGAGCAGGGCTGTAAGGGGGCACGCCAGGAGCAGGCTGTAAGGGGGCACGCCAGGAGCAGGCTGTAAGGGGGCACGCCAGGAGCAGGCTGTAAGGGGGCACGCCAGGAGCAGGCTGTAAGGGGGCACGCCAGGAGCAGGCTGTAAGGGGGCACGCCAGGAGCAGGCTGTAAGGGGGCACGCCAGGAGCAGGCTGTAAGGGGGCACGCCAGGAGCAGGCTGTAAGGGGGCACGCCAGGAGCAGGCTGTAAGGGGGCACGCCAGGAGCAGGCTGTAAGGGGGCACGCCAGGAGCAGGATGTAAGGGGGCACGCCAGGAGCAGGATGTAAGGGGGGCACGCCAGGAGCAGGCTGTAAGGGGGCACGCCAGGAGCAGGCTGTAAGGGGGCACGCCAGGAGCAGGCTGTAAGGGGGCACGCCAGGAGCAGGCTGTAAGGGGGCACGCCAGGAGCAGGATGTAAGGGGGCACGCCAGGAGCAGGATGTAAGGGGGCACGCCAGGAGCAGGATGTAAGGGGGCACGCCAGGAGCAGGATGTAAGGCGGCACGCCAGGAGCAGGATGTAAGGCGGCACGCCAGGAGCATGATGTAAGGCGGCACGCCAGGAGCAGGATGTAAGGCGGCACGCCAGGAGCAGGATGTAAGGCGGCACGCCAGGAGCAGGATGTAAGGCGGCACGCCAGGAGCAGGATGTAAGGCGGCACGCCAGGAGCAGGATGTAAGGCGGCACGCCAGGAGCAGGATGTAAGGCGGCACGCCAGGAGCAGGATGTAAGGCGGCACGCCAGGAGCAGGATGTAAGGCGGCACGCCAGGAGCAGGATGTAAGGCGGCACGCCAGGAGCAGGATGTAAGGCGGCACGCCAGGAGCAGGATGTAAGGCGGCACGCCAGGAGCAGGATGTAAGGCGGCACGCCAGGAGCAGGATGTAAGGCGGCACGCCAGGAGCAGGATGTAAGGGGGCACGCCAGGAGGTACTATTTTAGCACCTCCAGAGTGCCCCCTTACATCCTCCAGAGTGCCCCCTTACATCCTCCAGAGTGCCCCCTTACATCCTCCAGAGTGCCCCCTTACATCCTCCAGAGTGCCCCCTTACATCCTCCAGAGTGCCCCCTTACATCCTCCAGAGTGCCCCCTTACATCCTCCAGAGTGCCCCCTTACATCCTCCAGAGTGCTCAATAGTAATAGTAAGGTCAGTGGCAGAACTACCGAAGTTGCAAAGGTTGCACTTGTAACTGGGCCCTGGCGTTCTGCCACCATGCAGGGGCCCCAAGGCGGCAGAAACGGGGCCCACTGCAGAACATTAGAAGGAGCCTCGGGACAGGATCAGGGGGGCCCTCCATGGTTTTTTTGCACTGGGGCCCTGAAGGTTCTAGGTACGCCTCTGAATATATCCCAGCTCATCAAGCATACAACCCAACACCTTTTACCTTTCTTTTGCTGTCCTATAACAGCTGTGCCAGGATCAAGATTCCTACCAGTTAATTTCCTTTAATTTCCCAATAAAGTTAGCTGCAGACCCAGAGTTGACTGCATATGAAATTGTATCAAAATGGCTGGAAAGCAGGATGAAGGTCCAAAGTAATGCCTCGGCTGCCTTCCTTCTTTAGCAAATGGAAATATCATATCTGCTCTATTTGCTCAGCATGCTTGTTTGTGTACATGCTTTCAGGACACATAACTGAAGGCATGTGTCATATAGAAAGGATTAATATAGCTGTTCTCATTGAGTCAATCAGATAAGAAGAGCAGAATGACACTTATTATTTTCAGAACTAGTTGCACCCAATTGTTGCAGTGCGTCCTACAATGAGTGTAACGGAAAATATTTGCTTACCATAACTGTTTGACATCACTACTTAGAAATAGTAAGTGGATTTTTTTCTGTTTTGTGATCTTCCAGAAAAACTGGTTTCCAAATGGGGAGATTTAATGTTTGTAGATATATTTATGTATATATGCAAACATATACGCTGATTTCCACAATCCCACACCCTCCCTGCATTTCCAGGACACCACACCCGCTATAATCACCAGGTCTTTGAAATCATGGTAATTCATCATCAAGATGTATCCCTAAGTGCTGTCATAATCCCTAATGCTACCATCATACCACAGTGTGTGCCAGTGGTTGTCAACGTATGAGCCAGAAGGGGCCTCAAATGTGGCCCTTGACATCACCAAAGGGTCACACATAATGTTCAATGTATGTAATGCTTGGGAGGACTGTCAGAGATTGCAGATGTAATAGAGCACGAGGGGCAGAGAGTAAGGACATGCTAGGTTTTTGGCTGGGGATAGGCTGCAGAAGACAATGTTCCCACTACAGACTATTGAGGTCTGAGGGCCACACAGAATATACCAAAGGGCCACATGTGGCCTTCAGGCAACAGGTTGGGCACCAGGGACATAAGGGGCTTAGGGCTAGCTTGTGATAGTAAAATAACTAAATGAAAAGTAAAAAAAGAAACTGTTCAAACAGTTGCCCACAACCCATTCACCCCCCACACACGTAAATGCATATGCGTACATAGGACAGAGCTTGTGTATCGCAATTACCGGTTACCTACAAGGAGGGTATTGCCACAAAAGTCTCCTCGCAAGACCTCCTGCTCTCTAGCTCCCTTGTCTCCTCCTCCCATGCTCGTCTCCAGAGCTTCCCCCATCCTCTGGAACTCTCTACCCCAATTTATCAGACTATCGCCTACTCTGCTCACTTTTAGGAGATCTCTGAGATCCCCAGGTGAAGATAAAGGAAAGGAAGCCTAAAAAGAAAACTAATGCAGCCATCACATCTAAGATTTGGTAAGCTGAAATATAAAAAAAAAATCTCTTTTGGATTTACTACTGTTTACAAGAATATATTACATTTTTATTTTTTGGGTTTAGATACACTTCAAAAAAGAAAAAGGAGCAGAGGAGGAAGAGGAGTGAGGAAGAGGAGGAAAAGAAAGAAGCGATAAAGAAAAAGGAAAGAAGAAGAGAAAAAGAAAAAGCGAAAAAGAAAAGAAGAGAGAAATAGAAAAAATAGAAAAGGCGAAAAAGAAAAGAAGAGGAGAAAAAGAAGAGGCGAAAAAGAAAAGAAAAAAAGAAGAAAAGAGAAAAAGAAAAGAAGAGAAAAAGCGAAAAAGAAGAGAAAAAGTGAAAAAGAAAAGAGAAAAAGAAAAGAAAAAGCGAAAAAGAAAAGCGAAAAAGAGAGAAAAAGAAAAGAAAAAAAAGCGAAAAAGAAAAGAGAAAAGAAGAAAAGAAAAAAAAGAAGAAAAGAAAAGAAAAGAAAAAAAGCGAAAAAGAAGAGAAAAGAAAAAGCGAAAAAAGAAAAGAGAAAAAAGAAAAAGCGAAAAAGAAAAGAAAAAGCGAAAAAGAAAAGCGAAAAAGAAAAGAGAAAAAGAAAAGAAAAAGCGAAAAAGAAAAGAAGAATAAGAGAAAAAAAAGAGAAAAAAGAAGAGAAAAGAAGAGAAAAAGAAGAAGAGAAGAAGAGGAAAAAGAAGAAGAGAAGAAGAGAAAAAAGAAGAAGAGAAGAAGAGAAAAAGAAAAGAAGAGAAAAGAGAAAAAAAGAAGAAGAGAAGAAGAGAAAAAGAAGAGGAGAAGAAGAGAAAAAGAAGAAGAAGAAGAGAAAAAGAAGAGGAGAAGAAGAGAAAAAGAAGAGAAAAGAGAAAGAGAAGAAGAAAAAGAGAAAAAGAAGAGAAGAAAAAAAGAAGAAAGAAGAGAAAAAGAAGAGAAAAAGAAAGAGAAAAAGAAGAGAAGAAGAGAAAAAGAAGAGAAAAAGAAAGAAGAAGAGAAAAAGAAGAGAAGAAGAGAAGAAGAGAAAAAGAAAAAGAAGAGAAGAAGAGAAAAAGAAAGAAGAAAGAAGAGAGAGAAAGAAAAAAGAAGAGAAAAAGAAAGAAGAAAGAAGAGAAAAAGAAAGAAGAAAGAAGAGAAAAAGAAAGAAGGAAGAAGAAAGAAAAGAAAAGAAGAAAAAGAAAAGAAATGAAGAGAAAACAGAATAGAGAAAAAAAAAAAAAAATCAAAAATATGGCTCACCTGCTAAACCCAGGTAGGCAACTAAGTATCTGGTTTCCAGACCGTCCTTGGTGGTCCGCACTGCTCCATATAACGGAGGGATAATCATGATCAGGTTACTGACGGTGTTCCCTGGAAGAGATATGAAGAGAAGGATTAATAGTCTGGAAATACAACACAGATCCAAAATGAAAGCTACAAGGGATGACAGAATGCCTCTCCCACCACGCTTCATCCCTCCTATGCTAATAGTCATCTTTAGGTTTTGTTTTCAGATACAACAAAGAAATGCAACCAGCCGAACGTAAATGATCTTACAAATGTACGTTGAAGTGTGTCTTTTAGTACCAGTATGTTTTAGTCTGGATGAGTAAATTCCTGACATGTCAATTATAAGCAACAATATATAAAAAAAAAAAAAAAAAAAAAAAAAAAAAATCGCCAACTCAAACTATCCTTGAAGCCCAATCCAGTGACTTGATCTAGAGTCATCAGTCTGCTGCAGGCAGGAGGAATCATTTCCTTAGTCCCCCCCCAGTTAGAGGCTGATCTGTATCAAACATTTGTGAACACAGCCAAGAACTGCACAGGAACTAGGATTTACACTGGTGTTTTGAATTAGGAATTTAAGGAGGGCGGGTCAGTAAATGAGTCGTCCGGCAGAGGCTGAATCTCATATTTGTGCTATAACTCTGATAACTATACTATACTAGGTATTCATTTTATATACAGTTAGGTCCATATATGTTTGGACACAGGCACAATTTTAGTTTTTTTCAGGTATTTTTCCAAAACATTCAAAGCTATAGTTCTATAAAGGATATGGGATGAAAGTGCACGCTCTGAGGTGTAATATGAGGGCATGCAGCACAGTGGCTAAATGGTTAACACTTCCGCCTGGCAGTACTCGGGTCATTGGTTCAAATCCCAACCATGACGCCACCTGCTTGGAGTTTGCATGTTCTCCCTGTGCCTGCGTCGGTTTCCTCCGGGTACTTCCGGTTTCCTCCCACACTCCAAAGACATGCTGGTAGGTGAATTGGCCCCTGACTAAATTGTCCCTAGTATGTGTATGTATGAATGTGAGTTAGGGACCTTAGATTGTACGCCCCTTGAGGGTTAGGGACTGATGTGAATGTACAATATATATGTAAAGCGCTGTGTAAATTGATGGTGCTATATAAGTACCTGAAATAAATAAATAAAATGAACATCCAAATTGAAGGAAGGGTTTAGGAATTACAGCTCTGAAGAGCAGCCATCCCTCCTTTTTCAAGGGATCAAAAGTAATTGGACAATTGAATCAATCAGCCAAATACATGCAGAAATTTCAGTTTCGGTCCAAGAATTTCCATTTTGGTGCACCACTAATATGTCATTTTTATTTGTTGGTACATTTGACCAACATCAGATCAGATTTAAAGGGGGAGGAGCCCAAAATGCTCCCTCTTGTAGAACGCTCGGTCAGCAGGAAGGGGGGGGGGGGAGGGACACATTTCCATATCTCCGGTACAGAATTTGACTATTATGACATGTGGCTGATCTGCAGGTTGATGGGACCGGCGTGGATCACACAGGTGGCTGTGTAGTCTGTGTCCCCAATCCTGCCCGATTGCTTTTCATATCTCCAAGCAAGTACCACCCTGGTTTCCTGATGGTGACAACAGTAGCAGACCATGTCTGTGTAATGTGTGCTGAAAGGGCCACTTGTAATCTCCATCAGAAACCCGTGTGACAGGGGCAGGCTGACAACACAGGAACACAAGTGGGAGACAGAGCCAGAGTGTTGTCACCTTAACAGGAAGTGCCTTCACAAGAATTTCTATGGCAGAATTTGTTTAATGAAAGTTGCAGATTTAAAGATGTTGCGCATGTTAAAGATTATATGAGATGAAATTCGCTATTAGGCAGGGGCGGACTGTCAACTCATGGGGCCCCCGGGCAATAGGGGATCATGGGGCCCCTGTGTCCTTGCCCAAACTCAAAGCACACCCAAAAAAAGCCTATAAAAAAAAAAAAAATAATGGAACCAGGGGCATTTCATGCGGCCCCCTACTGACCCCGGGCCCTCAGGCAGTGCTCGAATGGTCAGTCCGCCCCTGTTATTAGGTTGACTTTAGGTGTATTGATCCCACAGAGATCACTGTACACTCCCAGACATTGTCTTCATCTTTTCTTTCCAGTAGAATGGAGTCATCTTTGTTCAGGCATTCAGGGTCACCACCATGATACAGATGAAACAATCCTGCAAATCCTGGTGCCTGTGCAGTTTTTGGCTGCGTTCACAAACATCTGACACAGACCAGCCCCTGCTGTATCATCTCACCTTCCAACTTGCTACAAAGACAGAATGACCAGTCTGATCTAGTGGTGCACCAAAACAGAAATTCTTGGACTGAAACCAAAATGAAGAGTGGTTTTTAAAATTATTTTTTATATTTGCGACTTTTTAATTAAAATTATGACTTTAAATGTATATGAATTTGTTTTCAGCATCTTTTCGGCTGTTTTCACACTGAGCAGTATTTGCAGCGCTTTTGCATTATAAAAAAAAAAAAAAAAAAAAAAAAAAAAGGCACAAGAAGAGCTCAAGAAAAATGCATCTCTTTTAAATTCAATGTATGTCTTCACATTGGTCCGTTGCGCCTCCCTTGCGGTGTTAAAAATCCTGCTTGTCGCATTTTTGGTGCATATAAAAAAAAAAAACAAAAAAAAAAAAAAAACCACACACCTCCATTTGCAGACACACACTATGGTCCATTCAACATGGTTTCCTATGGGGCACATTCACATCTATGCTTTCTAGAGCTGCTGCGTTTTTGGAAATGGTCATGCATTTTTTTTTTTTTTTTTTTAAAACACAAAAATGTGTTTTTGGTTCAATAGACTTCAATGCAGACGCTGTTGAAACCGCATGTAGTGCGTTTATGCGTTTTCACGCAGTTTCCGTGCTTTTTATGCATTTTTGCTTTTAATTGGCCTAACAAGTTGCTAAAAAATAAAAAAAAAAAAAAAACTTTCAAAATGCTAAAACGCATAAAACAAAGTGCACACAAATGCACTGAAAAAACGGACAAAAAAACATGAAACTGCATTGGTGTGAACCACACCTGAAATGTACTGAAAATGCATCAGAAACGCACACATGCGTTTTGTGTTTTTAATCTACCCAGCAACAAGTCGGCCAAAAAACACCCCCCCCCCCTTGCAAAACGAATTAAAAAAAAGGCAACAAAAATGCACATGCAAAAACGGACAAAACGGAAACTGCATTGGTGTGAACCAGGCCTGAAATGCATGGAAAATGCATAAAACCTCCCACAATTGTTTTTTTTTTTTTAATACGTTTTTAATCTGCCCAGCAACAAGTTGGCCCAAAAAAAAAAAAAAAAACCCCACACAAAAACGCATAAAAAATGCACATCCGAAACAGGCCAGACGCAAACTGCACTGGTGTGAACCAGGCCTGAAAAGCATTGAAAACCCATTAAAAAAACGCACATATGTTGCGCTTTGATGCATTTTTCTGAGTCACATGACCTATGAAAAATGCACCCTAAAAACGTGAATTGTGGGAAAAATTGGGTGTTTTAGGTGGCCATTATCGGCACCACTAACACTCTTCTTGGCCGATATATCTGTGCATCCCCAGTCTGATCACTACAAGAGAGGAGATCTCCTCCTGCTTGCAGCACACTTCAGACATCATCTCAGCCTAGGCCCAGTCACTGGACTGGAGAACAAAGATGCACACACTGCTGCTACAAATGCCGCGTTTTTAGGCCTCATGCGCACATGACGTTTTCACAGCTACTGCGAGGGGTGTCGGGGGGGGGTCCTGCCTTTAAACTCCCCTGCATGTTAGCCCACATGTCCATGTACACACAGGCTTTTAGCAGCATTTAGTAGCAGGAGCTTTTAGAGGCAGAAGAAAAAAATCCGCTGCCAGTGCGCCCAGGAGCAGCAGTTCTAGCATACAAAAAAAAAAACGCATCTAAATGCTTGTTAATGCTAGACGCATTTAGCGTTTGAGCATTACCAGATTTTTTGCTCCATAAGATGCACTTTTTCCCCCCAAAAATGGGGGAAATGTCTGTGCGTCTTGTGGAGCCAATATTGACCAGGCCTCACCCCCCTCTCCACAGCTGCCATGTTAGAATACCGGGCCAGCCAGAAGGGAGGGGGCGGGGCCAGGTCATCCCCTGTACCGTGTCCGCAGCCTCTGGTCATCCCCTGTACCGTGTCCGCAGCCTCTGGTCATCCCCCTGTACCGTGTCCGCAGCCTCTGGTCATCCCCCGTACCGTGTCCGCAGCCTCTGGTCATCCCCTGTACCGTGTCCCGCAGTCCTCTGGTCATCCCCTGTACCGTACCGTGTCCGCAGTCCTCTGGTCATCTCCTGTACCGTGTCCGCAGTCTCTGGTCATCTCCTGTACCGTGTCCGCAGTCTCTGGTCATCCCCTGTACCGTGTCCGCAGTCTCTGGTCATCCCCTGTACCGTGTCCGCAGTCTCTGGTCATCCCCTGTACCGTGTCCGCAGTCTCTGGTCATCTCCTGTACCGTGTCCGCAGTCTCTGGTCATCTCCTGTACCGTGTCCGCAGTCTCTGGTCATCCCCTGTACCGTGTCCGCAGTCTCTGGTCATCTCCTGTACCGTGTCCGCAGTCTCTGGTCATCTCCTGTACCGTGTCCGCAGTCTCTGGTCATCTCCTGTACCGTGTCCGCAGTCTCTGGTCATCCCTGTACCGTGTCCGCAGTCTCTGGTCATCTCCTGTACCGTGTCCGCAGTCTCTGGTCATCTCCTGTACCGTGTCCGCAGTCTCTGGTCATCTCCTGTACCGTGTCCGCAGTCTGGTCATCCCCTGTACCGTGTCCGCATCTCTGGTCAACCTGTACCGTGTCCGCAGTCTCTGGTCATCTCCTGTACTGTGTCCGCAGTCTCTGGTCATTTCCTGTACTGTGTCTGCAGTCCATTGGTTCAGAATATTTTTTTTTCTCGTTTACCTCCTCTAAAACCTAGGTGCGTCTTACGAAGTGAAAAATACAGTAATTCATTTTAATGGCCAGAATAAATGATTATTGGGGCCAATGAAATGAATTAAACGCCCAAAC